TACATACATACATACATACATGTATCCATCCATCCATCCATGCATGCATGCATGCATGCATGCATGCATGCATGCATGCATACATACAGTGAAGCCAAATATGTGTAGATATATGTATATATGCACACATACACGGGCCAGTTGCGATGCGAATCTGTCAGCACAAGTACAATAGCTCTACCTTCTGGTGTAGGTCGGTGTCCTCGATGACTGCACCAACAGCCCACAGCTTACCGTCGACAGCGTGAGGAAGCGAATCACGACATTTCGGCCGCTTTTGTCCTTGCCAGCACTTCTTTATGATGCGATAAATAATTAGCGGCTATAGCTCTTACGTCACGGTACTGATGGAAACAAGAAGATGGATCTGCTCGCAACTCTCATGAAGGACACAACATTATCGTCGGACAACTCGTGCCGAGAACCCTGGAGCCCCGGCGAACACATAGTGCACGACCAGCGAAAGAAGCATCGAACGCTCTTGACGCTTTGTTACTTGCTACCTAAGTATCACATGTAGGCTGGAGGCATATTCAAAGCCCCAAACCTTCAATCGAGCTTGGGGCTTTCTGAGCTAGGCCATGCTGCCGCAAACCATCCAGCCAGGAGGGTCGAAATGGCATTGCCGACGCCCATGGCTGCCAATACAGCTTGCACATTCAGCTCGTTGTAGGCCCAATCCTCGACAGATTTGGCAGGAATATTCATGCACTGAGACAAAACATCGCAGCCTGCGAGCTGCAGTTGTGGTGGCGAATACACTCTGACTCTCATACCCAATGTTGCAACTGAACCACGACAACGACACTAGCGACCCTAAAAAGCCGCTTCTCAGCCGAAGGGCCGTATTCAGAAGTCCAAGAGCAAAGGGCGTCGGCCTCAAACGCCGAACAACACAGTTGAAGCACTCTTGCTATTCCATTTGATCATGCAGTGTACACACTATATACACCATATACACTATGTAAAATACATACACCGCATCTCTCTCTCTCTCTCTCCCTCTCTCTCTCTGTGGATGTAGATACTCATGTATATATATATATATATATGTATATGTTTTTCATGTTTTTCACCCAGTCCGGTAGAGTCACGAAGCGCTCAAGCGACGCCTCTATATATATATATAGACAAGTATGCATGCAGTATATATATATATATGTATATATGTTTTTCAATTTATACAGATACGTATATATGTATATGCACGCTTTGTTTACCATATAAGACACGAGTATAAGACATACGGTGTACAACGTATGGTATACTATAGACTATGCGACACTATATGCTGCTATGACACTACGATGTGATACTACTCTGTCATAGGCCATACTTTTGAGACTTAGTCTTCTCTTCTGTTTTCTACCACGTCCTGACAACTCTGACACAGACTCCTCTGTTATGTCAGGCTGTAGTATGGCACTTTGCTATTATATGGCAGCGTCGTGTAATGTAATGTAACATATAGTGCTATGTTGTAGTGTGCCAGGTCATATTATGCAATATTCTATTGCGGTATAGCATATGCTGTTATAACATAGTGTGTTCCGCGACACGATGTGATCAGGTTTTATGTTGTGCTTCAGTGTGTTAAAGGAGAACGTATGAAGCTCTTGTAGCGAGTTATATGTATCACGCTAAGGTAAAGAGCTAAGTTCAAGATGCTTACATGGACTGTCTTGTGTCAAAGAATATACAGTATACCAATACATCATATCTAAACCCTAAACCCTGCAACGCAGAGTTCTGCCAGGCTCAGGGCTCATTGAGCGCGCCCAGCCAAAAGGAAGCCAGGAAGGCGCAAAGCAGCAGCTCCCAAACCTGGATTTTACAGGGAAATGTTGAAGGTATCCGGCTCTGCTTGCCCACTGGGGCAGGGATTCGAAGAATTTCATCTCCAAAACTTGCCAAGCCAATCGTTGGCAACTCTTCTCAGAGCCTTGTCCTTTCTTGTGCCGAAAGCTTTGATGCTGGTGTGGCGGCAGCGCTTGCGACACCTGTGACCGGCTCCCTGTCGCATGCAGGAACGCGTGAGCTGGTTTTCCTTGTTGAAAGGTGCGGGATGACGCGGCTTGCGGTGCATAAACATCCCTAGCCCCGCCTGCAAAATCCGAACCAGCTGTGGCAAGACGGGAAAGACAACTCAAACCAGGAAAACGAAGGCGCAGGATTTCGTCAGGAAGCAAAGACACCGATTGGAAGCCCCTCGATGCACTGGCCCACTGTGACGTGCCCGTCAGACATGGTCACGTCCGGTAGGTCCTCGGCACGGTGCTGTTGTGAACATAGCACAGCATGACACAGACTGGCTAGATGGCTTGGGACAATATCCGAGATCATCTCTGAAAGATGATGCCTTACAGAACTCTGCAGCAGTAACCGTCGCAGCTGCAGATCCCAACCGTCGAAGTGCGCGTGCGACGAGTTTTTGGCTTGAACTTGTAGCGCTTGTGCCGCACAAGCTTTCGGACACAGCACTGAGTTGTCTGCATCTGTGGAAGCCTCTTGCAAGCTGCGGGCATGAGCAGTACGAAGAGCAAACACGGAGCCGGTGACACGAGAACAGCAGGGTGCTCTTCCTGGGAGCCTCCCAGTCTTAAATCACATGTAATCCCCCGCTTACCAGGGTTTTAGGGTTTAGGGTTTAGGGTTTAGGTAGGACAACACACCTCGATATGAACTGCTGCCTTCAAGCGGTCGGTGGGAGTGATTTGGCAACACAGCCAATCATGTCGATGCATCCAAGTGTCAGTCTGGCTTCTCCGTTTCCACCAAAGCTTTGCTGAATTTGATAAGAGTTCGCTCTCCTCATTGCGATGGGCAGTCGCGCTGTCATCAAGCTGAATCAAACACCAAGGCTTGCCGGAGAGGGGGTGAGTAACAGCTTTGCATGGCGGCAGGCGCTCTACCGATGTCTAAAAATCCAAGCTTCAGATGGAAGACACTCCGGGCAGCATGAAGTCCACACAGCGTGGGAGGACGGCAGAGGTCGAAAGGCCTCGACCCTTCATCGGAGCCAAAAGGAGCCGAGAAATTATCACCAGGCGGGAAGCCCAAAAGCGGTTCCGTAGACAATACCAGGCTTAAACCCCAAGACTCTGGAGTCTTTCCTTTCTCTCGCGACAGACGAAGCAAACTCGACAAGTCAAGATCCAACTGCTTTTAGCACTGAAAGTCCAACGTGTTAAGTGCTGGGTATACATCCAAAGTATGCGCTGTCGAATACAAAAACGCAGAAGGTCTCTGCACCTAACCACATGATGCGGAAGCCCGTTGTGACAACATCATTTTCTCCAGATTTCCGCGACAGGATGAGAGCCAAGGAAGTGCCGACCTGGCACAGAACACTCCGACAGGTCCTACAGCCCCGAAGACAGCCATGATTGCAAGCAGTTTTGCTGGAGAGAGCGCTGGATAAATGTCTCCTTACACTCGCACCCCCAACCCTGAATCCTAAACCTTTCTAAATCCGGGTACTGATTGAAACCGGGCTTGATGACTGCCAGCATGGCCTCCGCTGCCGTTCTTAAACCAGGGTACTTGCCTTTGTAAGGCTCGGCACCGCGCCTGGCTAATTCTGAGCCTCTAGTGGGGCTCATGCACGATGGGGGTGCACAAAGTAAGCAGCCCGAATATAGGCCCCCCCCCTTCCCCTTCATGTTTGAATTGAAAGCAACAACACTTGCCATAAAAACCCCGGATTTTCAGAAACCTCTCTCATGCCGGAGACATGCAGAATGCTTCGGCCGACCGATCCTAGATTAGAAGTTCTTCCCAGATAGCACGAAGGCAGCCTGCGCCGATAGTAAGAGCAGGTAGAGTCAAGTAGAAGATGGCCCAAGAGAAAATATGAAAACCCATCAGAAGCAAGGACATATGCAGGATGACCAAGCTTGATAGCCTACCTCTCCGCAAAACCAACACTGATTTCATAAATAAATATAAACCCCAAACCCCCTAAACCCTAAGCCCATCACCTGCCTCAGCTCAGCCCCAGAACCCGGTCTGGGGAATGCCCTGGATGGGGACCTCCACACTTTCGGTTTTCGGGATTCCACAAGTTAGGTTCTAGGGTTGTTTGGGCGCTACGCGTTTGGCCTGCTTGAACTCCACACAAGGAACAAAAACCAAACAAGCCGAAGATACCACGCACCAGATAACAGATCGAACAGTTCAACGCTGAGGCGGGTGTTGCGGAACCAGATCGCCAATGGAGGAAGCCACCTGGTTAAATCCTCTGGATCCCCGAATCATGTTCTGTCCAAGGATGTCCAAGGTTTCCTGCTTTTTGAGGGGTACTGCTTTCAGGAGAGGGGCCGTTAGCCTTTGATAGCAAAACCAAGCTCTGCGGTAGCGCCCTTCCTACACAGTACGATGCAATATGCTAGGCTTGAGAAGTCCGCTCTCGGAGAGGCTGAAACATGCACTCGGGATGCAACCCATAGAAGCCGTAAGCATTACAGGTGCCTCCTACACATCAGTACACCCGAGTGCCGGGTTGACCAGGTGTGAGCAAATGAGGAATGCTGGGTTGCCGATCAATTCGTCCAGAAGCTCGCTCAGAAAGTGCTTGAAGCAACCGTGCACTGGGAAAACTATATAAGCTGGCAAGAACCAAGGAAATCAACGCAACGCATCAGCCGGTTGGCACCTGAAAGTGCGGGGGGTAGCTGAAGCCCTGCGTGCACAAAGCAAGCCCCGCATGCTCTGGCAGAGCGCAGACTCGACTTGAGGCAGCGGAGCTAACATGTCCAAGCGGACACGGAGTCAAGAGATCTTAGTCTTGTGCGGTCATCCTAAATTGCGCGACGACTGCAGGTCGCACCGTCGCAAAGCGCTACAGTGCCCCTCAGGAGCCAAAAAGCTCTCTCCAATCTGGGTAAGAGCTGCCGAGGCTGCCCATGCATGTGCTGAGACTTGCATCTATTGCTGCCGGCACGGGGTTCGCTTCCAGGCGTGATTGCAAGAAGCTACCGTCAGCTGGAGCACAGCCAGCCTGCACCGTAGGTGGCACCACGGCCACTGGTGCGCTGCTTGAAGAACCCTGGCGTTGGCTTCAGTATAAGGAGCGCGGAGGCGACGAGGTTGGAGCACCATCTCAGGTTGGTGACGCATGTATTATAAAGCCATGTGACACAAAAAATCGCCTATAATTACAACCCTTGGCAAGCCACCATGTGCCAGCTCACCAGATGTGGACATGCATCGACCAAACACCCCGACGGCAACACGTGGCTCTGCACAACAATCTGAACAGACTACTTCGTGGAAAGCGCATCCAAAATATTCAGGAATGGTTTCATGTCGTTGGCTGCAGTCATTCTAACATACGATGTAGATACTGATCGGCAGCAAAAGCAGCTTGTCTTGAGATGATTCCAAAAAATATCCGTTCAAAACGCCACCGAAGTTCATCTTCGACTCCCACCGAACAGACTTAATATCTGCTTCCATCTCTGCATTTTATACATGTCCCGCAACAATTGCAGCATGCTGATGCGCAACCGGCGGCCTTGCCGCGACCTTTATTCTTCACTTTCGGGGGCTCGTTAAACTTGCCTCACATCCGCACATTTGCTTTGGGTTGGACAAGCTTTGCAAAGGTGAGACAGCCTTCATGTAAGTAAAGAATGGTACTGAGTGATTGCAGAACACTTGAGGTCTTTTGTGTGGAGCGCACCCCTTGGCCCTTGCTGTTCCGACACCTATCGCTACGCTTGCAGACGTTCTTCGTACATGGGTCGTGCTTCGAGGGTGTGGTCTCGTCGGCTATTGTCTTTTCCTTGGGCGTTGGGCGCACAAGGAAAGACACATCTCCATTGGGCCGAATGTGGCCGTTGACAAGCAGTCCTGTATTCGGCTTTTCGCCACGCTGGCTAAATATCTAAGCCCGCGAGCTGCGTGCACTCGCTTTCTCCTGCGCCCCAGAGCCAAGTTCATAGACACCCGAAAACTGAAGAGGCTTCAGCACTCATGCAATCAGCTCCTGGGGTTCCGGGCTCATCAGGAACTTGTCGCTTTTGATGGCAGCTAACGCCACGCCAGCAGTGCTTTGCTCTGCCTCCGCCTTTTTCCTGCAAACCTGGCCAGAGAAAAAGTGAGAAACGAAGAGATCAAAGAAGGAAAGCCACCAGGGGTTTAGGGTTTAGGGTTTAGGGCTGGTATAAAGAAAGAAAGAAAGACAGAACTAGGTAAAGGTACACATATTTTCTATACCTGCCTGGAAGCAGGAACCCTTCAATACGTGCATGCCAAAAACGAAGAAATAAATACTCTATATGTAGAATGTATACTTTTGCATGTAACCACACACACATATACACACATACACACATACACACATACACACATACACATACATACATACATACATACATACATACATACATACATAATCATACATACACACACATATATATACACATACAGACAAATAGGTGTGTTGGCAAGCCGTTACTAGGTATACATACACGCATACAGATCTACATACATGCATGCATATGTTTATAGGTTTTTTTAGAACACATGAACAAAACACAGCGGTAATGGTGGTGGTGGTCGTCGTCGTCGTAGTAGTAACAGTAACTGCAGTAGCAGTGGTAGTGGTCATGACAGTGGTAGAGTGGTAATAGTAATAGTACGTAATACAGCAATAGTAGCAGCACTAGCTGCAGTAACACTGGTATTACGTGGGCTGTTCTCTGAATTAGGGTCCCTGTTTTAGGTACGGCACCCCTATACAGAGGACCCCAAAAGGAAGCCTAATTTAGAGAACTACCCACATAGCAGTAGCAGTACTAGTACTGGCACAGGAGCAGAAATAGTAGTAGTAGTAGTAGTAGTGGCAGTAGTGGCAGAACTCGTAATAAAGCAGCAGCAGCAATAGTAGTAGCAGTAGTAGTAGTAGTAGTAGTAGTAGTAGTAGTAGTAATACTAGTAATACTAGCAATAGTAGTAGTGGTAGCAATAGTGACAAGAATAATAGTAGTAGTAGTAGTAGTAGTAGTAGCAGTAGTAGTAGCCAAGCGCAGTAGTCCAAGGTATAGAGTACAGCAGTAGTAGTAGTAGTAGTAGTATTGCCAGCAAACGTAGTCGCAGTTGTAGTAGTGGTGGAACTTAGAAGTGCTGGTCAGCGCTGGTGACACTAAGAACCTGACACGACCACAACAACGACAGCAACAACAACGGCGACAACCACAAATGCACAGGCACGTGGTCAGCAACAGCAAAAAAACAACATGCACGTGCACATGCACTTACGCACTGATGACAATAACAAGAACACCACCACCAACAACAACGACGACGACAGCAACACGCACATGCACATGCTCGTGCAAACCAACAGCAAACCATCAGCACCAGCACCGGCAACAACAACTAGAACATACACAATAACACGAACACTGACAATAACAGTAAGAGCAAGTGTAAAAGAAGCCGCAACTGCAGCAATGCCAACGAAATATGCACCTGCACATGCACAGCAGGACCACCACCACCACCAACAACAACAACATCCACATCTGCATTCACGACAAAAGCCACAACGACAGCGACAGCGATAACCACAACGGTTACGACAAACACAGCAGCAGCAGGAAACAAGAACGAAAACAGCAGCAGCGGCACCAGCAGCAGCAACAACCACTACCACAGCCACTACCACAACAATGACAACAGCAACCACAACCACAACAACAACAGCAACAGCAACAGCAACAGCAACAGCAACAGCAATAGCGTCAACAACATCAGCAAAAACAACAGCAACAGCAACAACAACAACAACCACAACCACAACAACAACAACAACCACACCACCACCACCACCACCAACAACAACAACAACAACACCACCACCACCAACAACAACAGAAACACCAACACCAACA